GACCCCTCCTTGGGTTTCCGAGGCAGTATCACTACGGAAGTAGGATTGCCCAACCTTCCTTCCAAGGAGTGGCTGGTGGGTTTGAACCGCCAGCCTCCTGGTTAGCAGTCAAGTGCCTTAGGCACTATGCTACCAGAGCTCCCCTGAGTAGATGGTAGAACATTCAAATAGAATTCTCCAAAAGGCATTTAAAAGTGTAAGAATTGTCTAGTAAGGAGACATTTGATGAAGGTGCTCAAAGTTTTGAGAACAGAGTTCTTTAAAGGTGTGGAAGGATCAGGAAGAAAGTTTTGTTCTTCTCGATTGAAATGATTGCGGTTGGTCTTAAATAGGGAAATAGAAAGCAATTTTTTTGCAATATTAATCTGAATTCATGTCCACAACAGGTAGGACTTCAGAGAATACAGTGGCCAGCTAGGAGCCTTTTACAATAATCTAATATGAGTTAATGAAAAATGTGGAATTGGATGGTGGAAGCTGGAATAAACTAGAAAGGCTGCATCCCAAGTAATACTCTCCTAGAACTCCTATGCCAACAAAGCCCTCTTGCTTTTTTAACATATCCTGATAGGGAGTCTAAAAAAAAAAGTCACTCTCATTCAAACTGAACTGGATAATAATGCTTAGTCCATTCCAAGATACGTGCACTTAACAGATGGCTGAGAATTTTGTCAAAACAAAGATGTTTTGATGGTAGAATTCACTCATTCAGCACTGAAGCAAAGGTGTTTTAGGCTTAGAACTAAGTTGCATTAAAGTAGGCTTCCCATTGTTCGTGAAATGACACTCCTCTGAAAAGAACCTTCTTAGCGAATAAATTTAGTTGGCTTTTCTTGACTAAGAATTATCTACAAAGACTTTTGATAAACTATTTCTTGAAAATTCCTCTCAAAGAAAGTTCCTATCTTTCACTTGCTTTTCTCTCAGGATTCTAAACTTCAAGGAATTCAGTTTGCTCTTTTCTTTTTGTTAAACATATTTACTGCCCAGAGGAACTTCACTTTTTCATATGTGTAAAATTACTTCAAGATCTCACACAGGAAAAGATCTATGAACAACTATCTCAATTATTTGGTAGTCCTCATTTTCTTCTCGAGGCCATCACTGTTTCTACTCAAATACTTTAAACCCATTGCGATCAAGTTGATTCTAATTCATAACTAATTAATTTGCAAATTACTCTACAGGAGAGAATAGAACTGCCACATAGGGTTTCTAAGGCTGTAATCTTTATGGAAGCAGACTGCCACATCTTTATTCCATGGAATGGCTGGTGGGTGTGAAGTGAAACCTTTCTGTTACCACCTGAATGCTTAACCACTGCCCTATCAGAGCTCCTTTCAAATACACTAGCCATCATTAAGTATTTCCCTTTGGGATGTGATGAAAATGGGCAAACTGAGGGTATAGCACACATACACATAATCTACATCTAATTCTTCTGTATGGTTGTAGTACCTGTCAGTTCTAAAGCCTGAGTGGGTATTTGTCAAGACCAAAAAAAAAACCAAACTCACTGCCATCAAGTCAATTTTGACTCATAGTGACCCCTGCATTGGGTTTCTAAGGTTGTAAATCTTTACAGAAGTAGATTGCCCCATCTTCCTTCTGCAGAGCAGCTAGTGGGTTCAAACTGCTGACCTTCTGTTTAACGGCCAAATGCCGAATCCACTATGCCACTACTTATTTGTCAAGACAACTAGTAAATAATAACAGGGCCATCTCTCCATTAAAAAACCTATGCTTCTATTCTAGTACTTTACTTATACCTGATCCTTTCTTCAGATCCTGCATTTCCACACTTTTTCACTGACAATCAGCTATCATATAGTTCATAAGCCAAAGATTGTATGCCACATATAAGCTTGTTCTCAGGCTAGAAATTAAAAACTATTTTAAAAAGAAAAATGAACTTATTGTCTTCTCCAGTCACTAAGTTTTAAATTATGTTCACACAGCTTGAAAGTAAAGGATTAACCCTCACCAGTGATGTTTGGATGAATGGCACTGTGATCATTGATAGCACAGTGGGAAAGGACACATTCTTCCTTGTCACATGGGATAAACAGCCTCCCAGAATTTCTCTCTGGGATCCCAATGGAACACTGATGGGAGCATTCACAGAGGACAGAGTTTCCAAAATGGCTTATTTTAGTATTCCAGACATTGCAAAGGTGAGAAATCAGCTTTTAGACTTCCTCACTTACAATATTTTTTAATTTAAAATAAATTGTTTAATACCACATATGTTATTTTTAAATGCCTGATGCCAATAATTATATCATTTTCAAAATTAAGATAAAAGTAGAATGTACTTCCCATCCCTGTGTGATCCTTATAATTTGATGGGAGGAAAAAAGAAGAATTTATGTATCAGGGAAAGGAAGAAAAGAGTAAAATATAAGTTGACCAACAAGAACTTTCATGAGGAGAGTCTTTGCAACATAATGTGCACATAGCTAGAGCCTCCTTCCTCATTCCACCTAGGAATGCACAATCTGTGGATTCTGAAGCCAAAGAATAAGGGCAAGACAGGTAAACTTTCAAAACGAATTTTATCAGGTGATTTTCCACCAGGTATATAAACCATGCATGGCATTAGTATGGATGCCTGTCTGAAATATCTCTGTTCTCATCTGTGGAATGCTACACAAAGCCTCAAAAACTTGTTTTATTATATAGAAACACAGAAAATAGCTTGGCCTTGAATACTTACTATATTTCCATTTAATTTTTTAGGTGGGCATTTGGATTTACAGTCTTCAAGCCAAAGTAAACTCAGAAACATTAACTATTACAGTAACTTCTCGGGCATCAAAATCTTCTGTGCCTCCAATCACAGTGAAAGCTAAAATGAATAAAGACACAAACAGCTTCCCCAGCCCAATGATTGTTTATGCAGAAATTCAACAAGGGTACTTACCCGTTCTTGGAGCTAATGTGACTGCCTTCATTGAATCAACGAATGGGAAAATAGAAACTTTGGAACTTTTGGATAATGGTGCAGGTAACTCATAGTTTTTTTTTTTTTTTTTTTTTTAATAAGCCTGTATTTTCATAAACAGGGTTCTGTAGCAGTGTGGGGCAATAGGATAGGCACCAGAAAAACTGATGCACATAATCAGAGAACAGAAGGACAGGCAGGAAATTCTGTCCAGGTAATATCTACAAAGTACATAGCACAGTGTCTTCTAGATAAGCATTTAATAAATGTTAGCCATTGCTACCATTATTGTTTATCATCTATACAACAGACATCTGGTTGTCTCAGAGCAGTGATTCTCAAACTTTAGCATCCATATGCAAAAAGCTGGATAGTTTGTTAAAGCCCCAATCACTGGACCCATACCAAGGAGGCCCTGGAAAGTGCATTTGTAACAAGTCCCAAAGATATACAGGTGCTGCTGGTCCAAGGACCTCATTTTAAGAACCATTGTATTAAGAGTGTTAAATTGTCTGAAATTATATTTGCATTTTAGCAGATAATTCCAACACTGGTATTATCAAGAAATATGGTTATATTGCCTATTTTCCTGCTTACTAAATGATTATTCTAATACTAGATAAGTTTTTCCACTGTCAGGAAGGGAGATAATGGGCAGTATTCGATGGCAGTGGGTTTGGTTTTTGGTTTGGTATAGCAAATGCTGAAAATTATTTAAAAAAAAAAAAAAAGTGGTTGAGGATAAATCTAAGTAGGTACTTTGTAGTTGAGTATGGTGAGAATTAAATCCTAAGCAAAGACACTTGTTCTTCAGTAAGGAGCCTATGGAATTGAATAGAGGAATAAATCAGTGAGAATCCTATAATAATAATAATAATAATAATCTGCATGTAAAATAATAAGGGCCAGAAAGAGGAGGTATTTATTATGCAAACAAACATAAATATGTGTATATTATATATACACATACATATGTATAAATATATCAGTGATAATTACTTAAGGATATCAGTTCAAAAAATATACTGCTTTCTGGCAGAGCATAATGGAACTATTCTCCACAGAGACAGTCTAAAAATTAGAAGGACAAAGTAGGATATATGCTTATAAAGGTTATATATTTGACTTAGAAAACGCATATATTTCTATTTGTCTTTGCAATAATAATTTATTTCTTCTCTCCTAAAACAAGGTGCTGATTCTTTCAAGAACGATGGGGTCTACTCCAGGTATTTTACATCTTATACAGAAAATGGCAGGTATAGCTTAAAAGTACGGGCTCAAGGAGGAACAAATGTTGTCACACGAAGCTTGGGGCATCCACTGAATAAAGCTCTGTATATACCAGGCTGGGTGGTGGATGGTGAGTAATTTGTGATATCAAAAATCCAGTGCTAGTTTAAATGTATTATTCAATTAATTTATTTAATTTAGAGAGTATAGCTTTTCCTATTTTAGGTATGAAGTTCTCAGACATACACACAATAAGTGTTAATTATTATTATCCTAAGTAGCACAAAGAAGCTCCGGTAGCATAGTGCTTAAGGCACTTGACTGCTAACCAGAAGGCTGTCAGTTCAAACTCACCAGCTACTCCTCGGAAGGAAGGTTGAACAATCTACTTTCGTAGTAATACTGCCTTGGAAATCCAAGGGGGGCCGCTATGAGTCAGGTTCCACTGCACCGCAGTGGGTTTTTTTGTTGTTGTTGTAAGTAGTACAAAGTGTTAACGTTTTTGGCTACAAACTGAAAGATTAGAGGTTCAAGTCCACCCAGAGGCACCTCAGAAAGAAGCTCTGGCAATTTACTTCTAAAACATCAGCTGTGGAAAACCCTATGAGCACAGTTCTACTCTGCCTATGAATTATAATTGACTCAATGGCAACTCATTTTTCATTATTATTAGCAGCAGTTGGAAGCAACTTACCTAGATCAATAATGATGAGCCTAATTTTCAGCTCAAGATGAGGCCTGTGTATTGTAAGTCTAAATACAAGCCAGTAGTAGAATTTATCTTCAAATCACATATGTTGTAAAAGATTTATAAAAAAGTAAATATTTATTTGGGAAGTCAACAGAAAAAAAAAAATAGAGTAAGGTGATAATAAAGATTAACAACACATTCTTTTATTGCTTTCCTTTCCCTTGTCCCTTATCTGGTGAATTTTAAGGGCTTTCTATTACCAATTGGAATACAATCAGAAGTATTGTTCCTTAGCAGTTGAAGTAGAAACTGGGGGTAGGGGTGAGCTGGTACAAGTGCATGGAAGGAGACAGACAGGGCTTTATCCAGGTTAATTCCCACCTTGGAGATAATTTGGGAGGTTAAGCAATTCCTTTAAAGAAGAGAGATATCAAATTACATAACATTATTCACATTTGACTGCTAATCAGAAGGCTGGAGGTTCAAACTCACCAGCCAGTCCTCAGAAGGAAGATTGGGCAATCTACTTCCATAGTGATACCGCTTTGGAAATCCAAGAAGAGGTTGCTATGAGTCGGATCTGACTCAACGGCAGTGAGTTTGTTTTTTTTGCTTTGTTTTGTTGGTTTTATGGACCCTTAATACTAAAGAAATTTGTAATTTGATTCTATTCTACAAAATCCTGGTTAGGATGCTAAAGGAAGAATTCCCCACCAATGAGTTTGACAGAATAAAGGCTAAGTGAATCAATCTCATGACTCAAAGAAGAGTGTCACCATGCACCAGCAGTGTTTAACTTACCAAAAACCAAAAAATGCAAACTCACTGCTGTGGAGTTGGACCCAACTCATAGCGAACCCTCCTTGGATTTCCAAGACAGTATCACTGCAGAAGTAGATTGTCCAACCTTCCTTCTGAAGAGTGACTAATTTTTCAAATTACCTATATATTTTCTGTGACAGAAGAATGGTGAAAGGAGAGTTAATAATACATAACCAGAATTATATTTAGAATTATATCTTATATAACCAATCTCACTGCTGTCAAGCTGGTTCTGACTCATAGCAACCCCTCCTCGGGTTTCTATGGCGGTATCTCTACGGAATTATATTGCCCAGTCTTCCTTCTGAGGAGTGGCTGGTGGGTTTGAACTGCCAACCTCTGGTTGGTAGTCAAATGCCTTAGGCACTATGCCACCAGAGCTCCTTATATATATTCATTAAAAATACCAAGAGTTTTTGGCTACCAAAGCCAGCCACTTGGGAAGGGATCAAAACTGGAGATCCTGAATAGAGTGGGAGGAAAAACATGGAATAAAATCCAAAAACACAATAATGACCAGAATTACTGGTCAGATGGAGTCTGGTGGGACCCCCAAGATTATGGCCCTGGGATATACTTGGGGCCTGGGATAAAACTCACTCCCAAGGGCTGGCTCTCAGCCCAACAGTAAGTAAGACTTACATGCAGAACACTCAACTCAGGGTGATACACCCACCTCCTCTATGGAGATACATCCCTTGGAGCAATCGCCATGGGGCGCCAGAGGGGCAACATTCACATGGAGGAAAAGCTAGACAGACAGGAATGCATAACTAAGAAGGGGACAGGAAAGGGTGAAAAAAAGAACAAAAATGTATATATACATCAAGAGTTTTAATACACTAAACCATAGCTCATCAAAAAAAAAAGCATTAAATAATCAATTTCTCATAATCTTTGAAAAATATTCTTGGGTTATATTTCTAACATATTTTTTCATTCTTGCTGCACTATCCTGACTTATGATTTTGTTGCCAAACTTAGTAAAAATGTGACAATGCATATGAAAAAAATAATAAAGGAAAAGACAACTGCGATGAGGAGAATCAATTCATTGGGCTCTGAAGACAGTAACACATTATAAACCAGAACACTTTTTAATGTAGGGAAAATTGAAGGGAACCCAGCAAGACCAGAAATAAATGAGGATACTCAGACAACCTTGGAAAGTTTCAGCAGAACAGCAACTGGAGGTGCATTTGTGGTTTCTAATGTTCCAAATTATCCCTTGCCTGATGTGTACCCACCAAGTCAAATCACAGACCTTGATGCCAAACCTGATGGGGATCAGATAACTCTAACATGGACAGCACCAGGAGATAATTTTGATGTTGGAAAAGGTAGGTAGAAGTTACTGTGGTGCTCACTCATGTGAAAAGTGTCTGAGAGAATATTTGTTGCAAAACCAACAATGAAAATGTGGATGAAACAAGAAGCAATTTTAAATTGGCAGCTCAGTAAAATTTTATAGTAATAACTTATATTCTAATTTTATAATGTGATGTATTTTAATCCATCAAATGAGACACATTTGAGTCTCAGGTTTTCGTATAATGCATGTTGCAATTGGCGGTTTTAAAAGTCAGGATTCCATTTTTATTTAAAAATGTATAAGACTTTGCATATAAGTATGAACTTAGAATAACTAAATATTTTTGAGAAGACTAAATAAAAAGCAAACAAAAATAATGTCCTTCAGTTCATAAATTACTTGTAACTTTTTTTTTCATTAGTTCAACAATATATCATAAGAGTAAGTGGAAGCATCCTTGATCTAAGAGACAACTTTGATGATGCTCTTCAAGTAAACACGACTGATCTGTTACCAAACGAAGCCAACTCCAAGGAAATCTTTGCATTTAAACCAGGAAATATCTCAGAAGAAAATGCAACACATATATTCATTGCTATTCAGAGTGTAGATAAAAGCAATTTGACATCAAAACTATCTAACATTGCACAAGTTGCTTTGTTTATTCCGCAAGCAGATCCAAGTCCTGATGAAAATCCTCAGAATCCTCATCCTGATGAAAATCCTCCTGATAATCATAAAACCGGAGTTAACATTTCTACTTTGGTGTTGTCAGTGGTTGGATCTGTTGCAGTTGTTAGTATTATTTTAAGTACCACCATTTGCATTTTAAAGAAGAAAAAAAATACAAATAGACCTAGGACTGGGTTTTAATAAAATCAACAAAAATAAAGGAAATTGTGAATGTTTAAGTTTATTCTGTGTTTAATCATGAATTCATAAAAATAATTGTAAGAGGTCTATTTGAAAAATTGTAAGTCAATATTCAAAGTTTAATTATTTGAAATATCATATACAGTGAAGAATAAAGTTCCTATTATACCTAGTTGTGTGTTATTTGATAGAAAAGTTTTCTAAAATGTTTAAAACCTCATCAAGAATGTTGTCTAATTGCGTAGTCAAAATAAAAAGCACAAGAAAACAAATGAGCAATATTTGGAGGAAAATTAGTTTAGTCTCAATCCTATTAAGTGCAAATTGATGGCATTATATTCTCCCAGTGTCTCCAACTATTAGCTACAAAAGCTAAGGTCTTATTTATTGCAGTTTATGGAAATAGAGGATATTAATCACCACCTATAAAACCTACTTTTTCCTTATTTCAGCTCAATACAAACATTATATACGTATGTTGTTATGTGCCATCGAGTCGGACCCGACTCATAGCGGCCCCTCCTTGGGTTTCCAAGGTGGTATCACTACAGAAGTAGATTGCCCAACCTTCCTTCCAAGGAGTGGCTGGTGGGTTTGAACCACTAGCCTTCTGGTTAGCAGTCAAGTGCCTTACACACTACACTACCAGATTATTGTAGCTCCTGTAGATAGACAGATAGATACACACACACATAACATTCCCTTAAAAATCCATACTTCCAAATGAATTTGCTCTGTAAACTTTCACCCAAATCACAATAATTTTTTCTTTTTAAAGCCATACTTCCTTGTGTACTTTTTCTTTCATTGTAGCAAAGAATTACTATAGCTAGCCACTCCTCAGAAGGAGGATGGGGCAATCTACTTTCGTAGTGATACGGCCTCGGAAACCCAAGGAGGGGTCGCTATAAGTCAGGTCCGACTCGACGGCACATAACAACAACAACAACATAGCTACTATATATTGCTTTACAGATAAATACAAATATTTTTGAGCCACAATGTTTTCATTCATTTCTAAGAATCACAGCCTAAAAGACACAGCTAGACTTCAAAATTCACATCTGATTAATTTGACAGATGATGTTCAAGGTACAATACTACACTGTATCCTGAAGGGCCTTTCAGTCACAAGAAAGAGTTTGAGTTTCATTGTAAGTGTAGAAGGAAACTGTTGAAGTTCTATAAGTTTACTGTAATTTATATTTCAAATAATTTGCCCTGGTTGTTGTGTGTCAAAGATATCTGAAGATACACAAAGGAAATAGTGTTCAGTTAGGAGGTTATGCCAAAGTTCAGGGTGAGAAATGAATGTGGACTGAACTAGAATGACAGGTGAAAGTCTCACATAATCCAGCCAATCAACCCAGAGACCTGACTACCCTATTTCTTCATCTTTTATGCCCAGTCAACAAGTTACACATTTTTATCTCCTTCCAGTTGCCCTTTGTATTCATTGTCACTGCTTCAGTTCAGCCTCTCTCCAACATCTCCTGAATAAAGATGGTCCACAATTGGCCTATCTGTCTTCAGTCAACACTTCGCAATACATTTTCTAACTTGCCATAAAGTAATCTGATCAAGGACTTCTCTGTCTGAAGAATTGATTAGTTCCTGCACTGAATTAAAATTATTGTTGTTAGGTCCCACTGAGTCAATTCCAACTCATAGTGACCCTATCTATATACAACATAATGAAACATTTCCTGGTCTGGCACTATCCTCACAACCATGGCTATGTTTGAGCCTATCATTGCAGACAATGTGTCAATCCATGTCATTGAGGGTCTTCCTCTTTTTCTCTGACCATCCACTTTACCAAGCATGATATTCTTCTCAAGGGACTGGTCTCCTCTGACAATCTGACCAAGGTAGGAGATGTGAAATCTCCCAATTCTTGCTAAGGAGCTTTCCAGCTGTATTTCATCCAAAACAGATTTGTTTATTCTTCTGGCAGGCCACGGTATATTCACCAACACCATCATTCAAATGCGTCAATTCTTCTTTAGTCTTCCTTATTCATTGTCCAGCTTTCACATGCATATGAGACTATTAAAAATGCCATGGTTTGGGTCAGGGACACTTAGTCTTCAAAGTGACATCTTTGCTGTTCAACATTTCAAAGAGGTCTTTTGCAGCAGATTTGCTCAATGCAATACATTGTTCGATTTCCTGACTGCTGCTTCCAGGGACGTTGACTGTGGACCCAAGGAAAATGAAATCTTTGACAACTTCAATCTTTTTTCCTTTAATCATGATGTTGCTTATTGGTCCAATTGTGAGGATTTTTGTTTTATGTTGAGAATCCATATGAAATGCTGTACTCTTTAATCTTCATCAGTAAGTGCTTCGAGTCCTCTTCACTTTCAGCAAAGTTGTGTCCTCAGCATATCACAGATTGTTAATGAGTCTTCCTCTAATCCTGATGCTGCCTTCTTCTTCATATAATTCAGCTTCTCAGATTATTTTCTCAGCATATAGACTGCATAAGTATGGTGAGAGGATACAATCCTGATGCACACTCTCCTGATTTTAAACTATGCTACATCCCCTTGTTTTGTTTGAACAACTGCCTCTTGGTCTATGTACAGTTTCCTTATAAGCACAATGAAGTGTTTGGAATTCCCAGTCTTTTTAATGTTGTCCATAATTTGTTATGATCCACACTGTTGAATGCCTTTGCAACTCAATAAAACACCGGTAGCCATCTTTCTGGTATTCTCTGCTTTCAGCCAAGATCTACATTCAAGAGAAAGTTTAAATGCCTTGAAGGCAGAGACTCTGCCTGTTCTATTCACCAATGTATACCAGGCATGTAGCCTAGCAAGCACTCAAATATTTGTCAAATGAACACTAAGTTCACCATGATTTGGCCTTTGCCTACACTTCCCCTCCTGCCCCCATGACCGTGGTCCTGCATCTTAAAATCAAAACCAAAAACCAAACTCACTGCCATCGAGTCAAATCCAACTCATAGAGATCCCAATTGGGTTTCCAAGGTTGTAAATATTTAAGAAATAAATTGCTCCATCTTCCTTTCATAGAGTGGCTGGTGGTTTTGAACCACTGACCTTCCAGGTAGCAGCCAAATGCCTTAATCCACTATGCCACCAAAGCTCCTTACCTTAAAACCAGTGAAGCCAAAATACTTCCAATTTTCCCAGTCTTCACTTTTTTGTATCACTGGTCCTTTATAGAGAACACCATATTCCCTTCATCCCTCTCCACTTTGAACTCCACCCTCATCAGTCCCTCTTATTTGCCATCTGTCCACATGTTGTTGCTCATTAGTTGCCACTGAATCCATTCTGACTTAAGGAGAGTCTGTGTACATCAGAACAAAGTGCTGCCTGGTTTTATGCCATCTTGATGAAGAGTTTGAGTTCATTATTGTAGCTATCATGTAGTGTCATGCAACCTAGGGGTTCCATCTTCCAACACTATATTGAACAATATTCTCCTGTGATCCAGGAGGTTTCCACTGGCTGATTTTTGGAAATAGTTCTCTGGGCCTTTCTTTCTAGTCTATCTTACTCTGGATGCTCCACTGAAACCTGCTGGTATTTGAAATACTGGTGGCACAGCTTCCAGCATCTAGTAACACAAAAACCACCACAGTACAATAAACTGACAGACAGGTGGTGGTCTGACCACATACTGCTCTTTTAAAGTTCAACTCCATCTTTTCCTGTTTCCTTTCCACAGTCTCAGGCAGGGTGGACTACTCCCTCTTTTGTGCCCTACTTTTTTTGTGTTTGTTTTGTTTGTTTGTTTCTAGTTGTGATTTGAGTGAAAGTTTACAGAGGAAATTCATTTTCCATACAACAGTTCATACACATTTTGTTTCATGACATTGATTGTACTCCACACAATACAAGAGCTCTCTTCCCACTTCCTCCCTGTGGTTACCTTTTCCACGTGTCCTTCTTTCCTATGCATTCCTGCACTCTGAGCTATCACCCTGTGCAAATGTTGCCCTTCTGATCTCCCATGGTTGATTATTCTAAAGAATGTACATACCTGGTGTAACTGTGTAACTGTTCACCTTATATGCCTGTGTATTGTTTGAAGGAAAGCCACAGGAATGAGTTCAATTCCAGGCCCAAAGAGTCACCAGGGGCCAAAGTCTTGGGAGTTTCTATCAGACCAGGAAGCCTGAACTTTATTATGATTTTCAGTTTTGTCCTACATTTTTCTCCCACTCTATCCAGGATCTCCAATTTTGATCCCTTTCTGAATGGATGGCAGTGGTAGCTGGGTACCATCTAGTTATTCTGGTCTTAGGCTCACACAGGCTGAGGTCCACATGGTCTTCTAGTCTCCTGGACTAATTGTTTCCATGCACCTTTGATTTTCTTCATTCTTTTCTCCAGACAAATAGAGACCAATTGCTGCATCTCAGAAGGCTGCTCGTAAGCTTTTAAGATCTAGTCACCACTCACCAAGCTAGCATGTAAAAGAATGATTTTATGTGCTATGTAGTGCAACTGAGCTCGATGTCCGCACAACCATGGTTCTAAGCCCACAGGCCCAGCAACTCACTCCTTCAAGGAATTTGGCTGTGGCTAAGAAGTTATCATAACTTTGCCCCCTGTTAGCTCTATTATATATACAGATATTCTTATAGCACAAAGAAATACATATGTAGAAATATCATCTGTCAAACTTATATATGGTCATGGTATGTTCCCTTTTGCCTGACCACTGACTCTGTCTATTTATCTATCCATTTCAGGAGGTGACATATGATCAAGAACCAATCATATTGAATGAGAAAGCCAAAGGAATTGGTGAAAAACAAGGCTCCAGGAATTGAAAGAATACCCATTAAGATGTTTAAACAAAGAGATGCAGTGCTGGGCACTTACTCATCTATGTCAAGAAATTTGGAAGATAGCTACCTGGCCAACTTTCTGGAAGAGATCCATATTTGTAACCATTCCAAAGAAAGGTGATGCCACAGAACATGGAAATTCTCGAACAATATCATTAATATCACA